CTGGTCACTCACGACGTCATGACCATCAAGCCTCAAGCGGTTACAGGAGCAAAAGATACATTTTCCGTTAAGTACTTTAAAATTTGCCTGGGTTGTATACGTAACTCGATCCTCATGAATATATTTTTTCAACAATGTATATTCCTTTACTTTTCATAACATAATCAGTAAACACTTTAATTTGTTGTTGTTTACTTGGAATTAAATACAATGAGGTACTACTAAGTAGTACCAACTCGTATCATAATAGGTTCTAACATTATTGCAGTCAAATTTTATTATTATATAAGCAACTTATAGGCAGACGATAAATTAAACAACGTCAAGTATATTTGCCAATTTTTTTTCTCTTAAAAAGTTTATTTATCTTTGTAATTTCATGGTACTTTAGAACCAAAGTTTTCCTGTTGCCCTGTGAATTTAATTTTTTGTACTTCACAATCACAATTATATGTTTTGCTACCGAATTAGTGTGAGAAGCAGCGCACAAGTTTAATTGTGAAGTGGAGTTACAGTTTTTTCTTTATACGATTGCCTAAAACCATTCTTTGCAGGAGTCAATCCAATGTTGTTATTACTATTAAGTAACTGTATAAGCGAAGATAACCATCCTCATGACATACATAAAAAACAATCTTCTGTTGCGGTGAAATTTCAACACCGTAAATGTCCGTTAACTGCAATTTTGTCTTGTTATTTTACCGTGGCTTGGTCAGCACATTCTTGTGTTACGGTATTTCTACTTTTACACTCTCCATTTTCTTTTTATGCAATTTATTACTGATAATAATTAAACTCTTGTCTAAAAACATCGCATGAGCTGTGATATTTTTATCATTACTTTTTCGTCTTAACTGCGTACAATCTTGGCCCAGTTTTCCATCTGGATACATAGCTTTAGTCGCTTCGACCTTTGAGTTTCACGTAGTCGTACCAACATCAAAGTGTGCGTCAAGATTATGGGAAAAACAAAACCGTTCAAACGTTTCCTCTTGAATTTACATTGTACTCACTGATCAATAACTAAAGAAAGTGTTTTCAAATGGAACTTGTCATTTCAAAAGTGGTAGAAAACTAAAACACTCCTTTTTCGTTTGTTATTTAAAAAAAGTCGAATTTTACGATTCATCTCAGAACTTTTATTTAGGAGTTATTAAAAAAAATAACTTGTCTCCTCCAGAAAGATGATGTCACTAAAACATTTTTCAAATAGGTATTATAGAGTAAACTCACTTGATTTGTACCTAATAATAATAATACCTAATATAAAACTATACAGTCCCGTTAACGGACAATAGAGTACAACTATAAAGTTTTATTAGGTACAAGTACAACTGAGTTTATTTATTATCCAATAAATTGGTTTAGCGCAAAGGACCATTTTCGTGTGTCGAGATTAAACAATTAAATTAAACGTTCGAATTTAAGTTAGAATATGAAATTTAGGGTCCAAAAATTTGTAAAAATATATTTATATCTAAAGTGAAAATTGGTTGAGAATGTAAATTGAAATGACAATAGTTGTCAAGTCAGAAGACTCGTAAACAACCAAATTTAGGTAAAGTTTGTCTAGAATTATAAGAATTTTATGGACTCCCAAAGTTAATTCGTTTTACAGCCCTGTTGTCAATTTTATTGTACAGCTGAAGAGCGTGGCGAACTCAGGTACAGAAAACATCGAGTTTCTGCTGACAGGCTCTTTACCTGTACAATAGAATTGACGACAGGGTTGTAAAACGAATTAACGTTGGGAGTCCATAAAATTCTTATAATTCTGGACAAACTTTAGTAATACTATTTTTCTACTATGTTCGCTTGGTGTCCCTAAACTGTAATCTTTATAATATAAAAGGCAATGTCCGGACTGACCTATCAACGCCCAGTCCAAACGGCTAATGCTAGAAAGTTGAAATTTGGAGAGAATGTTCATTTTATACTGGAGGCATCGTTTAAGAAGGGATTTCTCGAATTTCATCCCCAAAGGGGGTTAAAAAGAGGTGATAAAATTCGTATAGAACCAATACGTCTACTGTAAATTTGCATCGTTGCGTGAAACCTGATGCATTTTAATTCTCTTCAATACAAATAAGGAAATACGTATTTAAGCATTTTCGGAGATTCGACCCCAAAGGGGGTGAAAAGTGGTGTCTAAGTTTGGGCGGCCAAGTTTGTATAATGGTATTAATGTTCTTCAACACAAATAATGAAACCCGTCTGTAAGCATTTTCTAAAATTCAACCCCAAAGGGGGTGAAATGTGGTCGCTAACTTTATATCGGAAAATTATTTCTATTGTAAATTTTTCACATGGAATTTAGTATTAATGCATAGTGAAACACGTATTTAAGCATTTTCCGAGATTCAACCCCTAAGGAGGTGAAACGTGGTGGCGAAGTTTGTATGGGAAAATATTTCTACTGTAAATTTAAATTTTTACGGGGAACTCGGTATTAATACTCTTCAGCACAAATAATGAAAGATGTATTTCAGATTTTTTCAAAATTCCACCCCTGAGAAGATGAAAGGGATTGAGGAAAAATATTTTTATGGCGATTTTTATTTGAAATTTTGTATTGATACTCTTCAACACATTTTTTACTTGAAACTTAGCAATAATGTTCAACACAAACGAAAAACTAGTGAATACATAAAAATCAAAAATCTGAGCTCCAAAACTTACATACAATTACTATTATTTCAAACAAGGACCCTTTATAATCGCACACGGACCAAAAAAAAAACAGTGGGCGTTCACAGTATTAACAAAAAAATTAAAATTATTTTGTTGCGGCGCCATCTATTAGAAAGTTCGATAATTGCAAATGTTATTGTTTTAGAACATCGATGCAAGAAAATTGAATGTAAATAGAGTTTTCCATATACATACTGCTAAAAGTAATGAACGTTACTCTATTATCAAAATTTGAGAAACATTTAACTTACAACTTTTTCAAATAATAATTTTGTGAATACTATGCAAGTCATTCTATTTAAAAATCTTATTATTTGGAAAAAGAGTGCATAAGTATTTTAAAAATTTAAACCATTTTTTTCTGAGGTACAGGTGCGCATTTCAGGGCGTATGAATAAATAAATATCTTCTATGTGATTTTCTGCAATCGTAAAATCAATATTAACACCCAAGTTAAATGCATAAACTTCAGAGAATACTTTTACCGTAATTCCACTTATTCTGTGATTGCGATTATACAGATTATACATCGTGAAATATTTCGGAAACCATTTCTGACACTTTACAAATCTATTTTTTTTTAATTCGTACTTTGAGTAGTTTAGTTCTGAGATTCAGTGTTGTTATTAATGTTTCTATATAGTATTCTTGAATTTACGCCGCCATTATCACAACCATTTAGTCTTAAAATATAAAAAAAAGTACATGAAATTGAAAAAAGTTGTTGCAGTACTTCACATATTTGTTTTTTCAAACATTGACCGGTTTCATACTATTGCACTACTTTTTGTGTTTCCGTCTTTTTCTAATTAAAGTTAAACCAGTTGCTATAAAGTAAGTAAAATATCGGTCCCAGTGAAGTTTCAAAAGAGTCCATTACCTACTCTAAGATAAACTCACAGAGGATAAACTGCAACATTTTATTGTAGTTTTTCTTCTTTGCAATAACTAAGTTAAAAATTAAAAATGAGAGTGAATTAGTAAATCAGGGATAACAGAACATGTCATTTTACACATTTTTTTACTCAACAAAATTTTAATATGACACCATTGATTTAGAGATGATAATTAGATAAAATTTTGTTAATAATCTGTAATTTTTGAGAAATCTATTATGCAGTTTCTTATATAAATTGTAAATTTTGTTCTATTGATTCAAATTTTTTTAGGGTAACCTTTAGTAAGAATTAGAGATGTGCCGACTGTTTATAAATGCAACAGACAGTGGGTTTTTTTTTCTATTTCTCTGACTACCTTAAAAACTTGTTTTATTTTAATAAAAGGAATAACTGAAGTTTCTTTTTTTTCCAAAAAATGTGTTAAATATTTTTGGATAATTTTAACATTTAATTTTTTGTAGTAACTCAGTACAAAAATAAAGAATAACACAATTTAGGGCAATTTATACAATACTTAACCAATTTTAACCACTTTTTTGGAAAATTTTTGGAAATTTTGAATTCGCTCTGAGTGTTTATTGGACCATATATCGTGACGGCGATTTCAGAATCGTAACTAGCGGAAGATTATCTACACTTTGACACCAATTTTCGGTCGATTAAACTAATTTTAACCGGTTTTGACAAAGCCGACTAGTCGGCCGACTGCAGTCGGTACATCTCTAGTAAGAATAAAGTATATTTGTTGTAATACATGTTTCAAATGTGTTCAACTTTTCCAGAGTAGAAAACTTTAATATCCGGTTTAAAGGAATTTAATTAGCCAATAACACGTGACGTCACGCTGTGGCGGGAACTCAGCGTTTGACAAGCGCCGTGAAACTCCATAAGTGACAATGTTAACATTTTCGTATTTTATTTAAAAATTTGGGTATTTATCTAGAAAATAAACACGTGAATAGCTTCTTTCATATCTTTTCTGTGTATCAGGGTGCTTTTTTTGGCGATTTGAGTTTAAAAATACATAATAAAAATAAAAATACAGAACGCTGTTTTGGTCTGAATTCCTCGTCACCCAAAATACATCCGTGTGTTTTAAGCGGTAAATCGGAAATTAATATTTTCGTTTGAGGTTAATGTGACGGGTTTAATTGAAGGTGTGTGATTTGTTTTTAAATCATGAATAATTTAAGTGATTATGCGCGGTGTCTTTCCCTCAAAGAGAAAAACAGATATGTACAAAAGTTAAACAATTTAAACGGCGTAGATCCTTATATAATGAGTGCAAGTGATTTTAATTTGTGTTTAGACGATATCCCTTCCATAACAATGAATACCATTCTAAACTTTTTTATTTTTGGAATAAGTAAAATAACCCACAATGAAATTCGTGCATTCAAAAGTCTAGAGGCATTTATTCAGTTTTCTTTTTTTTAAACGACTGTGTCTTTCAACATTACAAGTATTATGAGTGGATTTATTTTGATATCCTAAATTTTGTGATGGAACATAATCAGGGTGGTCCACATCCGACAAATCTGCAGGTTTACCTAAAAGAGTACCAATGTAGTAATTTATTAGAAGCTGTAAATCTAATAGGTAGTTACTGTACCTAAAATAAAATGATCCGAACAAATATAGGAATACTTTACTTTGGCTTCGTTAAATCCACTCGTTTCAAGGCTTTTAACCAAAGCTTCCGCCTTTTTCCCCATCCTGTATATATTTACCTTTATTGTTGCTAGTTGCTGGGAAAGGAAAATAAAATTTGTCCGCATTTCTGGTGCTTCGATTCGCGCAATCCACAACAGCACAAAATTTAGGCATTTTCTCCTAAAATACAAAATATTATACCTAATATTAAGATGCTAGTGTATTTAAAAAACATTGATGTACATTAACACAGAATTAATTTGCAAAACAAATAATATAAGATGCAGCGAAGTTAACCTTACATCACATTGGAAAACATTATTTTTTACGGATATTCAAACGTTATGGTGCGTTTTACAGATATCTACACAGTCGAGAAACTGTAACAAACTTACCAAACTACAAAAACACAGTTGACACACTCTCAGATTTAAATGAATTCCGAAAATATTAGCATTGACTCTTATGAGAAAACCGGCTATTTGTCAAACGCTGCCATTTTGATGACCTCGGATGACGTCAGTGTATTTGGCTAATTCCATTATTTATGTGAAATATAGAAATATGTGTACACATGTAACTGTATCTTTCAAATAAGATTTTCTTTATAAATTTTTGAAATGACATCCTCAACTTTGTAAGGGGGAATTTTCAAATTTCATTGTATAAATTTTATTTTTTTACAATGGTCCGTATAGATAGAGCACGAGTCAGTTGCGCGCCACGGTCAGAAAAATCTTCAAATTATCCTAATCCTACTGGACAGTTGCACGCAAACGATTTGGAGGGCTTAGGGACAGTTCCCCGAACGATCTCAATTTGTATATAATTTGAAGGGTTAATTGCCTGTACTAGATTACGTGGGTGTAACATTAAAATAAATCAGTACTCACACAATTACGCATGTATTTATTGCTCTTAAATTTTCTATCAATCGGTTTATCTTATAAAAAATAAAACAGTTAGTTGAAAAAATACTTATTTTTTTTTACAAAACTAAGAAACAATTTTTACAAAGCACATCTATGAAACTCATGGAACTTCTTCTTATCACCTGGGTATCGGCAATGACAACCTGCCACATAGGATAAACTAACCGCGGCGGGAAAGTCACCAATACCTTATAGATAAGGTTAAAAATGTGACAGATGAAGAATTACAATGTAAGCGTCGAATGAAATTTACTTAGCAAAATTCTGAAATGACGTCATCAGTCATCAATTTTTTGTGAGAATAAACGCAAATTTTGGCTAGCGTTTTACCGTCTGCACGATGGTCTTAAAAACACAAAAGTTTATAGCAATCAATTCATTCATTAAGAGAATATCTGTTTAATAAAATCACCAACAGATTGATGGAATGCGGAAAGCCGACATTTTAGTATTGTGAGGATACGTGAAAATTCACATTTAGACTATTAAAGTATTTTTACAGAAATAAAAGTGAAGCCTATAAAAAAACAATGAAGTTTTTACAAACCTCAATGACTAGGGCATTTAGTCATAAATGTTGATGCTACTACAAACAGATGTTTGGCCTTTTGCATATGGCGGCATGCCCTTCACTTGTGTCTTCGCCCGCTTACCAGTTGTTAAAAGCGGCGGTTATTTTACCGAATCACAGTTTTAAATTTATTGTCATCACGAACACATTATGTTTAGAAGTAGTTGCCGATTTATTGATAGAAGTTAAAAAATAAGCAACCACATTGTTTTTATTTCAACATGGTATATTTCACAAAAACGAAAGGTTAAAGTATAAAACCAAACGTACTATAGTAGTTTAGATATAAATAAACTAACCTTTCAAAATTAATTACGATTTAAAAATTGAAAAAAATAAACGTAAAACTAAAAATGTGACGGTTACGTTTCGCTTGTAAATGTTTGAAGTTCAGTGACAAAACTAGTAGGTGCCAATATGTTTTCTCAGAAGCATGACGTTATAAAAGGGAGCAGAAAAATAATGTAGCATGATTCACTTTCGTGCAAACCTTCACCTTCGTTCTCGCATTGTATTCACGTTCGTCATGTTAAATCTCCATTTTGGCATTTGTAGCAGGAATAACTTTTATAACTGTACACAGAATATGCAGATATATACATTTTCGACTCAACATATAATACGTTTTAAGTATTTATAAAGTGTATTTAAATAAATGACCACGAATGCTATTTCACAATTTTTTATTTTACCATATTTAGATATGACTGTTACTGCAGTGTTTCTGAGAATGTGGTGTATAATAAATGACTTCAACATCAAAAAATTGTGTAAATGAAAAAAATGCTTGTGCACAATAATCAACTTTCAATAACATGGAATCATCGAAAATAAAAGCAAAAATAGTATGTCGGAATATTGGAAACACGATTTCGGTATCAACGCCGATAATTTCTCACCACTCAGTGTGACAGTATTTCAGTCCATGACGTCAGAATATTAATAATTCGCGATAACATCATAACTTATTGCAGAATGCCAACAGCAGTGACGTAAAAATAGGCGTTTCATAATAGTACTGCATCAATAGTAACATGTTTTATGTACGTTTAATATAAAATCATTTCGTTGTAAAAAATATGTAATAACGATTTAAATCGTTATCTTATTTATTTATTTGTAGTTTCATCGTCCCATTAGACCCAATTTCTATTGTGCATACTCGCATCTCAAGGCCACAATCTAATATTCTCTTTGTAAAAATGAAATTTAGAATAATACTATTTTAGTATAAAGAAATATTAGAAAAAAAATTGTTACTGCAACCATTAAAAATTTTCAGTTATTGTAAACAGCTTTATATAACAGTCTACACTATATAACAAATATGAATAAATATGTTTAATTTGGATCCCATTCTACCAGTTTATAGACTTTTTGTTGTAAAATAGAACAAATAATATTTAGCAACTGATACTCCTATAAATATAAGGAGTCTTATTTATCTGATAAAAACACCAAGAATTAAACATACGATTGATAGTCAGAGAAAACGTGAAAGTTCCATTTTCGTGTTCTATGAAGTATAAAAGGGGAAGATGAAAGTCAAGTCAAAATCGTTTCTGGAAGTTTAACCAATGTTCTGATGTTAAATTTCTATTAATAAGAACTAAACGTATTAAATCGGATTAATAATTCACATATTGATTTTTTATCCAGAATCTATATTTTATTTTATATAACCTTGAGACAAATTTTTATCGTAGTGTTTTTTAACAATTACGTTACAAATAATTCAGAGATAAATCGAACTATTATTGATTGAGTTTTAATATTTCAGAGTTTTATAATTTATGAGCCATTATTTGGGTTAACAACATGCGTTGGTAGTGTAGAATTTAGTTTATTATTAATGAAGTAACATCTGATTCATTTTATATTGATAATACCGATATTGTCAACAAAACAAAATGAGTAAACTTTTGTGTGGAGACAATTCAAACAAAACCAAAATTTTAAGTTGTTGTAAATGAATAAATCAATACAATATTTCATAAATCATAATAGAACAGTCAAAACTAGAGATTTGCTGGCTGTTGTATGATAGTTATAAAGAAACTTTAAAAACAATGAATGACCCAGTGAAGTACCAATGTGTACATTAACATTCTGTGTTGTCGTTATGTATACTTCCACGTGTAATGTAATAATAACTTGTATAACTGTGGGGTAAAAACCCTCCGTGACTGCATGCATAGAAGCTTACTTGCCATGGTGTACTACCCAGTAATCAATTCATTATGGGTGGCCATGACTAAACAACTGTAATAACAGATCTTGTAACCGGCGCTAAAGGTTAAATCTGCATATACATTCCTGCATTATGCAACAATCAACGCCCTAGACCACAATACATTGTATTTACAAACAAAAGGAATATCGTATCCATACATAAATACATCACTTCACATCAAAGTCTTAATGTGTATTAAAATAATAATTAGATCTGAATCACCACATTTCACTCACGGTGTAGTCTCGTTATGAAGAGCCACATACACAAGAAAATCTATAAATTGTTTTGTTCAAGTTATAGTGTTGATAATTATATAATGTGCTAGAAAAGGTAGTAGTAAGGTTTAATGAGTTTACGTTATTTGTTTATCTTTGTGGCGTACAGGTTTTTACAGTGATGTAGTAAATTCCGAAAATCAAATGATATAACAAACAACTTTTTAGCCACAATATTTTCAAAGCAACTTTTTTGGTCTACTTCAATTTTGTAACAAACGATGAGCAATATACATTTTTGATTTCTAAACAACATCCCGTTATTTATAGCTAGCAGATAATTTTACAAATAATATTTTTGATGATATTATCTTTTAAGTATAAATATTTTATACCACATGTCGTATGTAGAAATTGCATCTGCAACGAATTAACGATTGGTTGTTTGTTTCACTTTTTCATAGAATATATATTTCGTGCCACTTAATAACGCACTAACACTTACAAAGCTTGCCAGTGATAGACGCTCTACGTTTGGGGGAACCGCCATTGTCGAAAAAGCAAGCAAAAGATGAATGTTTGCGTGTAGTTCGGACCGAGAATGTAACAAAAGTGCTCTTTAAATTTCGAATCTATGGTGGCTTTGGAATGAAGGTCTAGTCGATGATAACAGCAACTTTGAACGTGTTCACTTTTTTTGGTTAGATATTACTGTTCTGCATTTAACTTGACATTGACAGATGTAAGCTGTATGCACCCCTCATGCACGTACGTTTGTAAACTACCAGCCTACCTAGATTAGAAATTTACAGAATCAATACTAAAATGTTTCTTACTGCCTCTGATACTAAATTTCACATCGAAAAGTGCGAGTTTTATATTTTAGAACTTTTTTTTTCTTTTTAAACATAATGGCATAAAAATGTGTATATTATATTTCTCAAACCTGAATAATATTCGAAAAAATATATAATGACCGGAAATTTTTTTTTCCAACAATCGTTACAGTATTCCAAAATTAATTACGTAATGTATTAAAAGAATTTTCGTGAATTGTGTCCTAAACTTACTTCCAGATAATAAAGTTGATTTCACCTAAGCCGAGAACAAAAAGAACATTTCCACTGTATTATTATTTTTTTAAATAAACAGATTTGCAAATATAATTTTATGGAAACCTTCTTGAATAAATAATGCGTATTTAAATAATATATAAATATTTTTAAACTGATAATAAATCATTCGTAACAATTTCATTCATATATTCTCCAACGAAATTATTTCATTTTAATATGTTGTAAAATGATAAAATGTATATACGTTGATGACCTAAAAACATGTATTTTCCTGCAAATTAACTCCCACTTTTCATGGAGGCACCTCCGTGTTTCAATACTTATTTAGAATTGAAGGCTTTTTTACATTTTAAGGAAAATTTAGGTATGATTTTTTTAACTGCGGTTAGCTGTCTCACTAAATTGTTTGAATGAACTGTTTCTTAATAAATATACATTGGTTGTAAATCCCAATTTGTCAATACCGGATGTTGACCAAATAACCAAAAAAATTCATATTTCCCTATATGTAAAATAGTGAAAGTGATGACGAATCGAAAAAGAATATACGACAAATTAGCTGCGTTTTATACATTAGATTGCGTGTTGATAAAAAAACTCGTATGGTACTTATTTACATAAGTAACAACTACTTATTTATTACGAGTACAAATTGCCAAAACTTCAGAAATCGCGTTTATATTTGTGAAGATCACCTTATCTAGCCAGGGATGCATACCTGAGCAATTGTTTTAAAATGTAGGATAACAAACCTGAAGGTCGTTTAAATTAACAATTGGATGATTTTTACAACTACGACATCTACCAAACTTTGCATCAGCATTTGAAAACTATAAATAAGAGTCACCACTTTCTAATTTTACAAGCACTAGTAGAGTTAATAAAAATGTTCGAAATGTTAAAGCGCATCCGGGACAGTTAATGTGTGGCCACGAC